TCGGTAAGACAAGTTGTACTAGCTTGTCCTGACCACTTGTTTTTGCTGCTGTCAGTTGTAAGCAATTCCGACATCTTGGACTCTCTGCGTCCTTACAATGCCTTACCAATTGCATGACATGCACAACAAATCATCATCACATGTGAATCACATGATGTGATCATTACATCATCTTCTTCCCCCTCCGAAGCAAACTAGCAGCTCGCGTCGCTTCGCTCCGGGGAATCTCTAGCTCCTACGGAGGGGGTGTTGCAGTGCATTTCCTGCATGGTTTTTGCACCTGGTTTGTTATGAAAGTTATGTAATGAAAGTAAAGCGTGGACTCCACAGTGTGAAGTAATAATTGGAGGTTCCCTTTGAGTAGAGGAGTACTCCCATACGACCGCCAAATGGTTGAAAATTTGCACGAACTGCGTGAGTACACAAATCGTCTAACTGCAAGAAGTGCAAGTAAACGTGATGAAATTACGCACGATGTAGGTTTAGGGATGCGTTGAACAGAGTAGAATTGGAGTGTTGGAAGGCGTTTAGAATTAATAAGCGGGAAGCAACGCATCAGAGGGACACATGCTGAAGGTTAAAGAGTATGTGATAAGAATTTGTGGAAGAGATTAGAAAATGTGAGATTTTGACGCACGATTATAGCCAAGTAGCGTGGAAGTATTATAATTTCAGTGGAATATGTCACTTCTAGCGAGATTTTCTCTATTTGAGGGGGTATATACTACTTCTCTAAATGGGGTAAGGAGAAAGTGGAATTCCGATAGTCTCGCGGCGCTCATGCGAATTGATTGTGCTGTTAATGCATATCTTTGAGTGGTGGCATAGTCGATTATTGAATGTTGGACAGTCCAACTTGGACTCCTATGGAACGGAGCTTCAACATCTCCATTTTAACCATTGTCTGCAAATCTTCCGGATGGATGAATTCCCTCTAGACAACGGAGAAATGACGAAGGAATGATGGAGAAAAAACGAGAAAGTGCAACGCAAGCATCATACACGCGAGTTCAAGCATACGAAACCGTGTCACTGGCGAGTAACGTCGCGCGTCTCTGGTTGGATCATCGCTGTCACTCCCAGGAAGCGCTAGCTGTGCTGGGCCGTTGCCAAGGAGCTAGTTAGTAAACCTCCCCAAGCTTGAGTAACTAGAGCCGCATTTCGTTCCCTATACCTGATAGGCTCTGCTCATCTGTAGAAGAACGTGTCTGATGTAGCCTCGCGATGCACATGCGTGTATTCCTTGTGTCACCGGACGTGAATCAGGATGAGGCCACTGGGCTGGACTTATCTCGGGTGCCCAATGTTTTCCAAGCCTGGTGGACTCTAGGCTAGAGTCTCTACCTTCCGGGAATTTCGTTTTCTTGACCCGTCCATCCCTCCCCGGATAGGGGTGAGCTTTCGTGGTGCTTCGTGCTTCGAGGTATTCACACCCCTTAGCCTCCGGAGCTCTTTTTGGATACTAAAAATGGAACCCGTCCTCCATGGTGTTCAGGACCTCATGGTGAAGTGCCGATCGCTCTTCCGGTCGCACGGCGCTCTGATCGTCGTCACTGGTGTGGCCTCAATAATCGCCTTGAAGGCTCTTAAGCTCATGAAGCGTACCAGGGTGGATCTCCATGCACTCTTTGGTGGACCAAACCATGTGAGCTCGGCTGGCCCTTCGCAACTTATAAGATGCAAATATTTCGGCTTTCGCTAGTTCCTCCCGGTCCTTGGTTTCATCCCGAAGTCAGTGGATCACCTCTGTCATGCATTGGAGATCTACGCTGATACGTATGGCGATGTATACAACATGAGGTCAGGAACAGTTCAATACTGTGCGGACTAATTCACCTACTCTATATTTTGCCTTCTCAGAATCATCGGCGGGGACGTGATAGTCGTATCTGATCCTGAGCTTATTCGACAAGTTCTGAATGCACGTCCGAGGACCTACATAAAACCCTTCAATAAACACAGGATTATGCCGATGGAAGGTATGTTTAACACAGAAGGTGAAGTGTGGAAGCGGAACAGACGATTGGGTGCGCCGGCATTCAACGACATCAACTCATCGGCTATGATTCCCGATATGTCCAAAGTGGCCTTGAGGCTGGTAAAGTCTGGATTGCCATCCCTTAGGTCCCGTTGTGCAAAAGCTGCACCGCAGATACGACAGTTGAAGTCCCTCAGTCAAGATGGTGTCATCGTATGGCGCCCCACAGAATGGCTTCCCCTCTGCACTTTGGATATCTTATGTGTCACCACTCTCGGGAAGGATTATAATTTCGTGAATCCAGATGGTGAGCAACGAGTTGAGCTTATGTTCGACGAACGCCCTATGATAGAGTCCCTATCTACTAACTCAAAGTTTAATGAAGTTATCCTCGCTTTGAATTTCGATATCGAGACCTTGAATTGGTGCAGAGTGTACGAGAATTCAGTGGATTCAACCCACTATTACCAATGATCTCCATTCTCGTGATGACATCTCAGCCGATAGAGTATATAAAACTGACCCCAGTGGTGCGAAATGCGATTCCGCTACTGGGACGGTAATACCGTCTCAGTGGCGATACTATCGAGGTGTTATTGTTCGCTCGTTGACAGGCGTGCCACTCGGACGACAATCCGGAGAGCTCCAGCTAGCGATGGACGAGTTATTGGAGGGCTCGGGTTACGCTGCACAATGCAGTGCTATACCATGGATGACACGGGATAGGTTCCCGTGGAATCTTAATCCGATGATCAAAAAGGTAGACACTTCACCCGACGATTACGTCGTCGTTCGCTTATCATTTTTAGATGCACTCGGGGGCGAAGCAGCTGGGAAGAATATGTGATGAAATCATCGAAAAACGGCGGGCGGAGCGAGACGCGGGAGAACGAGCGGAAAAGCATGATTTGCTGGACAAACTCCTGCATCTCGATGAAGTGGACCTGCGAGGGAACCTTATAACGTAAGTCCTCGTACTTCCAGTCTGATACCCGACAGTTGTACGAGTCGACGGAAGTATAGTCTCCGAGTCCTAGGCTAGGACTCCTAGCGTCTTGATTTATATTTACTCGAGTTGCCAGGTTCCTCATTGCTGGTAGCGACACTACCGCCATGACTGTCGCCTGGTGTCTCTACTATCTGGCCCTATACCCTGGAATACAGGACAAGGCCAGGGCCGAGGTGGATGGCCTTGGGCATGATCCCGATACGATAGAGGATCTGGACGAGCTAGTTTATGTCAAGTGTTGTATACTCGAGGCCCTCAGGGTGAGTCCCTGGCAAATCGAGTGGGAGATCCTCGGCCGGTTCTCAGTTGCAACCCCCGGGTGTGCTCCTTCTCAATGAGTGCACTCATGACACGGAGCTTAATGGCCACCGAATCCCTTCCGGGACGAAGGTCACGACCCTTCTTCACAAGGCTATGATTACGGAGGCTCAAGGCGGCAAAAACTTCGAGTATATAACTTCCTTTCCACTTCATCCCGGGATGTCGTCCATCTCAGTCCTGAGCGTTGGCTTCTCCCCGGCGGCTCCTCGATAGACCAGGCCCGTGTACGTGATCATCTAGCATTTGGTGGAGGGCCTCGTCAATGCCCTGGACAGAACATGGCCATCAAGGAGGCTGTGGTGATCTTGACTCTACTTCTGAGAAATTTTGGTTCTATGTCATTGACTTGTCCCGCTGCAAGTGTTATTGGTGAGGCAACTTTTTCATACGAACCTCTAAATCTCGAGCTGCGAATGTCTCAACGAGTTGGCTAGTGCTGCTACTCTGCGATTTTATTGCTTCAGCGCTCAGGTTTATTTCCGGTCGCAACAGATGTTTTTGCGTTCACCACCAAATTATCTTCTGGTATATACTAGTATTCCGATGGTGCGCAGTTTCGAACGCTTCGATTCTATTGGCACGTCGGTTAAACCGGGTTTCTGAACGTAGTTTCTAAATTTCAGAATCTGAAGCGACTCGGTTTAGAATCTGAACTTTAGAAACTTCGTTCCGACAGCGCGTCGATTAAAGAACATCAACTTCCGTTCATAGTCATGATGACGTCATGGAAAACCACAGCTCCGAGCCGTCAGCTCAGGATCGGAAGACTACAGCGCAACTTCGAAAGTTACAACTCAGATATTCTGAGCGCAACTTCGAAAAGATGTAACTCGAAAATTCTGAGATGGTGAAGAACGAAAGTTGTAGAAGCTGCGAGCTGCTCCAGTAGATGTGTTGAGAGTCATACGAACGTGTGCTGGATTCAGCGGGATCCGATAGTGAGAAGTGACAATGTTGTAGTCTTTTGAGGGACGCAACATTATCCTATATTACCTAAGCTGTTATTAGCCTCACGTTCTGCGTAAGATCAGACGGTGTTTCGTCAACTCGAAGACTTGGGAAACCGTTATAGACGGTTTTACTTCCTCACTCGACATTGTGCCATAACAATTGCGAATCGAGGGTGGGCTTCGGCCCGCTCATCCGGGTAGAGTCTACGGCAGATTCTAGTGGACTCAGTCCACAGTGTACAGCGTTCCACTCTTAGGAAGGTCTCTGTGCTGAGGCTGCTCTCGCGTGCGTGCGACTACTTAGGTCGTCGTCGCCCGAACACAATCGATCAGGCTATGTGTGTGCGTGCCCCATTGCTCATTGCTTGGAAAAGCATGAAGCGAAGCGGAAATGCTGAGAGGTGCAAGATTGCTAGAAGCAGTGTGCCTCAATGTTCTGTGTCCTCTAGCTCAGATCCCAGTTGTTGCACTGGGCATCGGTTGTCACTATCTAGTAGTTGAATCGTTATTGCATCAATATGTCTACTTTTTTTTCTTCTTTCTTCCTTCGTGTGGGAGAATTGCGGATCTGCTCAACTGTGGAAAACCTGCCATGACGGTGTAGGCGGCATGCTTTGCCCACAGTTTGATGTGTTCTCGCTGATCACGGTTCGTTTCATAGCCCAAGGGAGGGTGCTGTCGTGTTCGACAGCTGGGTGGGATATGTATATATGTGTCTCATCTGCAGAAGCAAAGTTGCATGTGCTTTGGAGGCCTCACGGATTGCCCATTATTCTTTTCGGTCAAACTTATTGATTCATATGACATCGGTATCAGATATTATCACCCTCATTTCCTAATGAATGACTCCGAACCCTCAAATGATCCCGAGTTGTCACTGGGAAGAACCATACTTGAGCCCCAAGACGCTACAAGTGAAGTATCCGAAACTAACAGGTTCGCGAATCACGAAAATGATAAAGACTCTTATTGTAGCCCTCACGAAAAAAAGTTCTTAATGTAAAAAGGTCCATAAGAGCCTCGTGACTCAATTGTACAACGTTGATTTTGATAGAAGTTCCGAGGGCTGCAACCAAGTGATTGAGAATATCGGTTGTACAACGTTGATTTTGGTAGAAGTTCCGAGGGCTGCAACCAAGTGATTGAGAATATCGGTTGTACAACGTTGATTTTGATAGAAGTTCCGAGGGCTGCAACCAAGTGATTGAGAATATCGGTTGTACAACGTTGATTTTGATAGAAGTTACAAGGGCTGCAACCAAGTGATTAAGAATATCGCCGATAATCTATCGGAGGCTTATACGGGGGGTGATGTCCCTGCCTCTGGAAGTATTCACGTCCGAAATAGAAAATTATATTATCGTCAAAATAGTACTTGATTGCGTTGTCGGAATTGAAGTCCCAAAATCGATGTTCTAACGTCCCTCTTGTGTGCTGGAGATTTAACGCACAGAATGTAGGTGCGACATTTTTTTATTACTATACGGTATGGTCCATACCCTCAGACTCCTCGCTACCTACTTTGTGGCTCAGCAGAAAGCTTCGATAATGTATAGCAAAAGTCAGGCTCTATTCATCACTCTCCGTTCTCATCCCTGATGACCTGTCGTTGGCTCACTGAGTTCAGGAAACAGTTTAATAGCTAGGTCCCGAAAACGCTCTCAATCTCGGAGAATCCTGGATAGTGCAGCACTTGAAATACAACAGAGGTGTTAGTTCATGATTTTGGCCGCATCTACAGCGACGGAAGAGTTGTTAATGAGAAGTATAAGATACCATAAGTGATTCCATACGGTGAAACGTATATACTCGTCATGCACGCAAGTATAAAATTTGCCAGGAACACGGCCTTTGCATGTTTGTACTACAAACATACGATGACCATATCCCTGGCAAGCGAGACCCGCGTCCTTGGTTAGATTGCCGGTATCATTTTAACGGAACACTAGCTGTGCTATGCCTCTGGCCAACGGGTAGTTGGTGAGCCTTATTAAGGCTTTTTATACTTCGAAGTCTTCGATGAACTCTCGGTGCAAAATGTGCGTTATCTAGCCTCGCGACGCACATGCGGCCCGCATGTTGACGTGCGCACAAGTTGTTGATGGCATCGACGATCTCGGCAACCCCCCCCCCCCTCGTGTAGGTACACCCCCGGTCCTTTCATTCCCTAGAAACGCCTTTGCGTGCAGGCATTTCTCATTTATTGTGATGTCGAATTCCGGTGGGATTACAAGACTGTCCCCAACTCGGGTGCTTTAGGATCCCCGAGCTTCCCAGTCTGGGAATCCCGGAACACAGTTGCGCTGATCAGCCTATCCTCCGGGAAGATTCCTCCCCTGGATAGGGGTGAGCCCTCATGGTGCTCCGTTCATCAGGGCATAATGCCCTGATGAACGAAGCACCCAGTGTGTGGAGTAGATACTAGCACCCGGGGTGAGCACCCAGTGAATGCCTTGGGCATTCACACCCCTCAGTCGATGGAGCTCGTTTGCTTGCGTCGCTTCCCGACTGTATGAAGCGAGAATTAGCAAGATCACAGTCAGAGTTTTAGGCCGACTTTGAATGGAATTTCCAATCATATTTCTAGCATAAAGCGACCAGCTGCTATCGCCGGTTCAAGCGTTGGGTACGTCGCATCAGCATTGAACGTCTCAGTACAGGATTGAGTATTAAACATGGAACCCGTCCTCCATGGTGTGCAGGACCTCATGGTGAAGTGCCGATCGCTCTTCCGGTGGCACGGCAGTCTGATCATCGTCGCTGGTGTGGCCTCATTAATCGCCTTGAAGGCTCTTAAGCGCATGAAGCGTACCAGGGTGGATCTCCATGCACTCTTTGGTGGACCAAACCATGTGAGATCGGCTTTCGTTTCTCCATTCATAAGTCCTTCTGCCTTCGTTAGCTTCTTCCGGTCCTCGGCTTCATCCCGAAGTCAGTGGATCACCTCTACTACGCCTCGGAGATCTATGCTGATACCTACGGTGGTGTTTACCACATGAGGTGAGGAACACACGAATACTGTCGAATATGCGAAAGTTAAGTCTTTTCTCTCCTCAGATTCGTCGGTGGAGACATGATTGTCGTATCTGATCCTGAGCTTATTCGACAAGTTCTGAATGCACGCCCGAAGACCTACATAAAGCCCTTCAATAAACACAAGATTGTGCCTGTGGATGGTATGTTTACTACAGAAGGTGAAGTGTGGAGGCGGAATAGACGATTGGGTGCGCCGGCATTCAACGACATCAACTCATCGGCTATGATTCCCGATATGTCCAAAGTTGCCTTGAGGCTGGTAAAGTTTGGATTGCCATCCCTTAGGTCCCGTTGTGCAAAATCTGCAGCGCAGATACAACAGTTGAAGTCCCTCAGTCAAGACGGTGTCATCGTATGGTGCCCCACAGGATGGCTTCCCCTCTGCACTTTGGATATCTTATGTGTCACCACTCTCGGGAAGGATTATAATTTCGTGAATCCAGATGGTGGGCACCGATTTGAGCGCATGCTTTGCGAACCCTACTCAGAAACTAAAAATTCAATGATACCGTCTCAGCGAGACAGTATCGAGATCTTACTCCACGCTCTTCGATAGGTGTGTCTCTCGGACAACAGTCCGGAGAGCTGCAGCTAGCGATGGAAGAGCTATTGCTGGGCTCGGGTTACGCTGCCCAACGTAGTGCTATAGCATGGACGACACGAGATAGGTTCCCATGGAATCTCAATCCGATGATTAGACAGGTAGACACCTCACCCGACGATAAAGTCGTCGCTCGATTATCATTATTAGATGCACTCTGGGGCGAAGCAACTGAGAAGAATATGTGATGAGATCATCGCCAAACGCCGAGCGGAGCGGGACGCGGGAGAACGAGGGGAAAGACGCGACTTGCTCGACAAACTTCTGCATCTCGACGAAGCCGACCTGCGAGGGAACCTTATGACGTAAGTCCCCGTTCTTTCATTTTGCACTTGCTTTGCCATATATGGGCTGGATATTATCAGGTTCCTCATTGCTGGTAGTGACACCACCGCTACGACTGTCGCCTGGTGTCTCTGCTATCTGGCCCTATACCCTGGAATACAGGACAAGGCCAGGGCCGAGGTGGATGGCCTTGGGCATGATCCCGATACGATAGAGGATCTGGAGGAGCTAGTCTATATCAAGTGTTGTATACTCGAGGCCCTCAGGGTGAGTCCCTGGCAAATCGAATGTAAGGGTCGGTTCTCAGTTGGAGCCACCGGCTGTGCTCCTCCTCCATGAGTGTACCCATGACACGGAGCTTAACGGCCACCAGATCCCTTCCGGGACAAATGTGATGACCCTCCTTCGCAAGGTTATGATTACGGAGTCTCAGGGCGGCAAAACCTTCAAGTATATATGTCCTCTCCACTTAGTCCCAGGATGCTATTCATCTCAGTCCCGAGCGTTGGCTTCTCCCCGGCGGCTCCTCGATAGACCAAGCCCGTGTACGTGATCATCTAGCATTCGGTGGAGGGCCTCGCCAATGCCCTGGACAGAACATGGCCATCAAGGAGGCTGTGGTGATCTTGACTCTCATCCTGAGGCATTTCCATTCCATGACATTGGCCTGTCCCACTGCTACTGTTCGTGGCGAAGCGAGATTGTCATACAAACCTCAGAGTCTCGAGCTGAAGATGCGTCAACGACTTAGCTAGCGGTGCTGCTCTGAGGTTTCACTGCGCTTTTAGCACTCAGGTTTATTTCCGGACTCAAGACGAAACGTGCGTCGAGTAGCCTTCTGGTATAGGCTGGTATTGATTTCTTCCAATACGAAGTTCAGTACAATTATAGTACCTGATTCCAGCCCGATATAGTGTTCTAGATGGCATAGATATACGAGCCTTTTAGCGAGTATACTCAGACCCTGATTCTGAGACTCAGAGTATTGATAGTTGCCTTGCTAATACTCTGTAGTACAGAGCCTGCACTTGCAATGCAAGTGGTAGCCAGCTTTGCAAGTCTTGCATAGCTGGCTCGTCCCGCTATATTCTATAAGATATTGAGGAGTCTCTCCCCCACCCATCCGTTGTGGTGTTCGCCCCAGGGAAACTGATCAGTCACCGGCTTCTACAATATCTAGTACTGCTAAAGGTGAAGGAGATGACAGGACTTCTCGCTGTGTCCGTGGTCTCCTGAAGGAGGCGATGTTAGAGTCACATATGTCAGAGTCACTTTACACTGAGAGGGTTCGTCCGTCCCGAAGCCGGTGCTAATCAAGCTGAGCGTGAGAGGTTCGGAGCCAAGACAGCCGGCATCCCTCACTTGAGGGTCTCAATGCTACAGCAGTCGTCGTGGCATGTTCACTATCCCATGGTGATTATCATAACTCTGATCACTTCGTGCCCGAGTTGAGATTATCCTCCGGCTCAGGTAGGATCGAGGGCTGACCAGCGGCTTGTTCGAGGAAATTGGGGAAAGCCGGACCTATTGAGGGCTGTGGTGCTAACTCGGGTACTGGCAGTACCGTACTGTCGAACATATGTCTCCCTCGCTTGGGTATATTATCCTGGCAAAGGTCAAGAAGGCAAGACGGAACTTCTGGTGCCGTTGTGAATGCACTGAGAAATGCCATGTTCGGCTGGAATCTCGACTCGAGATTGTCCCCGACAGTCGGGGTCCGAGTGTCAAACGGGCCGAGGGCCCACGAGCAGTAACGCATGGTGTCGTGGATTCTCGCCGCGGCGTCATCTTTTGGAAGCCTTTCTTGAACCTTTTGAATCCGAGGTTGACGAGTCGCAACCGTCGTTCGCTCGAGAGGTTGGTTCATATCTTGGCAAACTTGTTGGCAACAGGTTGTTGCACATCTGCCTAGCGCTGGATACTTGCGTGTCTGTGTTTCTATCGATCGTCGTCTCCTGAACCACTCATATGGTTAGGATCGATCGACTTGATCACGCTCTGTACCTGAAAATGTGCGAGGTCACGTCAGGCATTTACTTCATGCTATTCGAGAATATGGTCATCCTGCTTCTGGCCAGTGGACCTTATTCCAACGTTATGTTGGGCGAACTTACGGAGGCTGTTGTTCTCACTAATCAAGCGGATACGATCATCGCTGATGGTTCTTGGGCCAAGAGTCGACTCGCTCTTACCAGTGACATTGCAAGCCATCGTAAGCCATCCACATTTCCAAGTGTGCCAGAACTACACCATTTCAAGACTACATCAGAGAAACTCGATGGGGCCCGGAGTTGGGTAACGCCCAGGCCAATTCAATAGAGGCACAAACCAGTTTAGTGATGCGCAACGAAATTTCATAACATGAACATTATTACTGCATTTTTCTACATCTCCACGGAAATGAACATTACCCACATTGAGTGAGCTACAGATAGCTACAAGTTGAGGGCGTGGCAGAGCAGTGCATCCCTCAAGCTACGACCGTCGAAATGATAGTAATACTCTCATCTTCGAACTCGAAGTTCGCGATTGTGTTGTCGAAATCGAAGTCCTTGAATCATTGATTTGACGACTATCTTATGCGCCGGAAAGAAGCGCGCAGAGAAAGTGCAAAATTTTTTATTTCCGTACCCACTATGTAGTTGCTGAGTATGAACTCAGCATCACTATAATAGTGATGCTGAGTTAGTTTTAGTGAGTTGGTATTATTTACTATGATGGACTACCTATCACCAGTATCACAGCCGATGACTCGTTAGGGCCACGCTTGCTCGCCATTGTGCGTTTGACGTATGCGTGCGAGGCTGGCTCCACTACAATGCAGCAAAGTCATATTCGTTACACCGCGGATAATGTACAACAGAACTTATAGCAGGGCTTCGGGTAGCAAGGATAGACATCAATGAGAGGGCTGTCAACTGGAAGTAATTAGAAGAGACTAAAATCTTTGCTCGATGAGCAGCAATCTGCGTCACGTTGTGCGGAGACCCCGGAGTGTGCGATCAGACGATAGTAGGTCACAAAGGCTTCCGCGTAGGGCGCGTCACCTGCATATGGTGGAAGGGGCTGTCCGACTCGGACAGTATTCATTTTTGATTCGTTGGGTCCAAGATTGACACTATCTCATCTGCAGTGTAGGACCCGACCCATACTAGGGACGGCTATGTGTCGATCCTCCACTCCGAGGGCTTCCCTAATGATCTTGCGTTCTTCACGCGCGCAATATCGCGACGCTGGTTGTGACTCGTGCACGATCGGCCCCGTTCATTGCACCCATTTCCATGAGGTATTGTTTGCTAAATCTTTACGGCACCGCAATGGGTTATCACCCTACCTTTTTTCTGTATAGACTCTCATTCCCCATCTTCTGATGCCCAACTCACACAACCTATTTGAGGCTCCATCTTCGAGAGGCGGAGGGGTTGAGTTGCCACCAGTCACCCCAGGGTTCGAGTTAGCTGAAGCTACACATCCGAGAATAACTATACGCATCCAACCTTCCAACTTTGAAACTTGCACAGGGAAAGGTGTACTTCCAAAACTCAGACAATGTGGCATCTCTCTGTTTGATGACTCCTCTCTTTCCAAATTGTTCGTATACTCCTCAATTCCCTGTGAATTCATGGAGATTTCGCCAGCGGCCTTGAATGCTGAACAAAGTTGATAGAGATTATTCACTCAATTCGTCACTGCTAGGAAATCTAGATCCAACACTGCGTCAACAAGAGTCTTGACTAGTTCCAGCTCTCGAAGCGTGTTCTCGATACTGTTTCAGAATTCTTTCCATCGATTGTTGACATCACCATGAGTGAAGTGAGTACCAGCGGTGGCTCCATACGCGAGAACCTCCACTGACAAACTCAATATGTCGTAAAGGAAACTAAAGAGCGAGCAAATGTAGCGGGACAATTGCAAGCGATGGGAAAATCGGCGGGACTAATTATTATGCTCCGGACATCTTGAAATGATCGTCATCGTCAGTGGTGTAGAGCTGCCCATCATCAGTTAGAGCTGTCAATAGTTGATTATCTGACCAACCATCATCATCATCACCACACATCGACCTACA